GAGTCTTTACAGAAGCAGAAGCAGTCCACAGCTTCCTTCCATGGGGCAGCTGTTGGGTTTGAACTGCCAACCTCTGAGTCAGCTGCTTTCCAAATTCTTCGCTTCTCTGAGTAGTTCTTGCTGCAAGGGTTTCCGGCCCTTCCTCTCTCGGGCCCCTGTCCAGTTTGGTGGGGTCTGATTTAAAATCTGGCCCTTCGCCCGGGATTCAGCCCTGTGAGGTGAGGTGCCCAGAACATGGCGTCTGGAGTCTCTGGGTGCCTCTCACTCACCCTCGGTGGCCGGGGACACTCGGACTCTGCGGGGAGAACCCTGGGGACTCTGGCTCTCCACGAAAACGCCTGGTTCAAGGGCAGCGCACCTTCCACCCTAGATTGCAAGGCAGTCTTTCCAGTGGCGTTAGGTGCTTCAAAATGTTTGTGGGGAAACTATTCTTCTCCCCACCACTCCCCGCACCACCCCCCATTGGCCAGGCTAGGTTTTTTGGGTTGCTGTGATGAAAACCCTCCACAACACGCAACCCCACAGGGAGTAGGAACGGAAGGTGGTATCCAGTCTGATTTCAGAAGCTGTACAGGGACCATCAGGTATACGTGACCCATCAGCACACACCTGTCCTCCTTCGAGAGCCATGAGACTTCCTGTGCCTGTTGCATCTGCAGCCTCAGAAGCCCACAGGGGCCCCTCTGCTCTGCCCTGCCAGCTGCCCGATGAGTCAGAATTGAATGGATGGCAGTGAGTTTGATTTGGGGGTTGTCATCATTTAAGAATGAAGTTTAAAATCTTTGAAAGTTTTGAAAGTTTAAAATCTTTGAAATTTTTTTTAATCGTTTTATTAGGGGCTCATACGACTAAAATCTTTGAAATTTTTAACTCATCTGTGTTTTGCTTTGCCTTGCTCTTAAGTGAGCTCCTAAGTTCTTAGGCTATAAGTCATCATTAAGTTGGTACGGCTTGATGCTTATGTCATTAAAGCGTAAAGCTGCCTGATGAACGCAGTGTCGGGCATTTCTTTGGGCCTGTCCAGAATCCTGAGAGAGGAGGGGATGGGAGGGTTCTTTTCAGGGTCTCCAAAACGCACTGTCATCGACTCCTAGTGACCATATAGGACAGGATACACTTGACCCTGGGGCTTTCCCAGACTGTAACTCGTTACAGGAGTCAAAAACCTCGTCTCTCTTCCACTGAGCGCCTGGTGGATTTGAACCGCTGACCTTGCAGCCCAACGAATAGCCACTGTGGCACCAGGCTCCTCCCTTTCAGGGTACCGTTGAGGAATATTACTAGAAGAAGTGCTGCAGGGCCTGGGAGACACAGATTTTTAAAAGATCAAAGACATTTATACAGTCAGGTCGTTTTTTTAAGATTTCTGACAGTGAAAAGGTGACCTTGGGAATGTTGCTGATTTTCAGTTGATAACGTTGATTTCCTTTAAGTCAGAGGCATCTATCTCTCCTGTAGCCTCTGCGCCTGGTTTGGCAGCCAGGTTCCGGCAGCAGATCAGTAGCTGAAAGAGGAGGATTTTCTTCGGTATTGTTTTAGCTGCTGCCAGGTCCCTCTGTCTGGAACATTCCTTCCTGGGTGTGGATTTAACCAGCCGTTGTCCCGAGAACAGCAGGAGACTATCAGTTGTTAGGTTTTGAGGGAGAAGAAGTTAGACACAGATTTTGCAACTGCCCAGGGGGTCAGTGCCCCCAACTCCACATTGTTCCAGGGTCAGCTGTAGCTCCGATTCCTGAGTGGTTCTGGGAATGCGCGTGGCCCTCTAAGACACCGGCAGTGGCGGGAGCCCCTGCTGGGTCCTTCCACTGACCCCTCCCGTGCCGCGTGTCCGGGGGTTGTGAAGCGCTCTGGAAAGGCAGCGGGTGCTGACGGGGCTCCTGATTCCACCTTTGCTCTCGGCAGAGAGTCCTCCTGTTTCGGAACATGGTCACCAAGGAGAAGGAGAAGCTGGGGCTTGTGGAGACCAGCTCCGCCTCCCCGCACGTCACCCACATCACCATCCGCCGGTCCCGGATGTTGGAGGTAAGCAGTGACGCCGACGGGTAGGACCTGCCTCTGCACCGTGCTTGTCACTCCCAGGTCCAGTGGCCCTGAAATCAAGCTCTGGGAGCAGGAATGGGGTCTTTTGTCCCATGGACTGCGCTGAAGAGCTGTGTGATACGCCTGGCCTCAGTTCTAGAACCCACGGTGTAGTGTTCTCTTTGCCCACCCCAGAGCCGGAGCGTCAGACTGTCCGTGTGTCTCGCAAGTGCAGTTGGTATCTGGGTGCCTCTCACTCAGACTCTGCCGCCGAGTCAGTGCCCGCTCCTAACCACCCACTAGGGCAGGGCAGAGCTGCCCCTGTGCAGTTCCAAGACTGTCACTCTTCATCGGAGGAGAAAGCCTCATCTTTCTCCCGTGGAGTGGCTGCTGTTTCGAACTGCTGACCTTGGGTTGAGCTGCTCTTGGGTGTTCTTAGACAGGCCAGAGCACCTCGCCCCAGGCTGAAGGTGCTTTTCCCAGGCTCCCCCTGCGAGTGCGTGGGCTGCAGTGTAGGGGTGACATTTGCTGAGCACCACAGGCGTGACGAGACGTGTCGGCGACAGAACTGAGTGTTCTCCCGTAGCCCCAAACTTCAGAGACACCAGTGGCCTGGTGCAGGTTGCTGCTGTGTGAGGACTCTCCACCTGCCGTGGAATTGGTGCCCGAGCTCACCACCTTTCACTACCACGTGCATGCCTGGACCCTGGCCTCGCACGTGCATTTGACTGGAGCAGAGTCCTGGCCACATTAACCCTACAATGTCCACCGTGGGTGGCCCCCACCTGCCCCCCAGGGGCAGGTAGCACCCCCTAGTTGTGTAGAGCCAGTCCTGCCGGCCATGCAGTTGCGGGCAGAGCCCAGGCACATCCCCAGCAGAGGCTCGGCTTACCTCCCTGGCCCATGTGTGTGTGGTCTTCTTACCCGGCCACAGCTCCAAGGAGCATGCTCTGTAGTGTAGGGCAGCCAGGGGAGTCTGTGGTTTCACGTGACCACCGAGCCACAGGCCGCCAGTGTGCAGCCTCTGCTTGGACATGGAGAGAAGGGGCTGCCCGATGGGGTTATGGAGTGTCCCCTCCCTAGAACTTTGCTTATCAGTCTTGCATGTACCACCCCTGTCTTCCAAAAAGCCCCCACCACCCCCTGGAAGAGGCTGAGGTGCCTAGACTGGGGGCGCCCCTGTGAGTGGGCACTCTGCCCCCACCCCCTGCTCAGTGGCCTGACATCTGGGAAATGCAGGTGTTGCTGTCACTCGGAGCTCTCAGGGACATCAAAAGAGAGATGTCCCATCTTCCCCCTGCCTTGCTTGGAGCATACTGGTCAGATGGAATCAGGAGGGGCAGAGCCCCTCCTCCCCTTGTTCTCCATCCCATGCCCTGACCAGTAGAATGCAAAAGCCCCGTGGCTTTTGCACGGTTTGGACACAAGGGGGCAGCCGGAGACTAGTGTGAGGTCCATTGGCCACAGGGCCTTGTCTTGCAATTCCTGGGCTGTGGTTTGTCTGGGAAGCCGGCCCTTCCAATGGGCTTCCAGGTGCTAAAACCCTGCAGGGAGAACTTGCCTCTCAGGCCCGGCTCCATTTGGATTAAAACCCCGGTCTCAGAACCAGAAGAACCTTAGAGACGCTCTGGGCCAACCCTGACTTCTCACCCAGCCAGAGGCCGAACCGAGGCCACAAAGGGTCACTTCTCAGCTTCAGTGACAGAGCGGGCTGGGCGCCAGGCCCCTATCCCGGGGCCAGTGTGTTCTATGCCAGCACTGGGAAATGCATGTCATCAGTCCCTACCTTGCTGCACGTCCTGCTCCCGAGGGCAGCCTCCCGCTGCCATAGAGCTGGAAAGTCAGACCCCCCCCAAGATACATCCCTTCTTGCAGCAGGCTGTGGCCGGGAAGCAGGCCAGAGCTGCTCTCCCTGGGCAGCAAACTGGGGAGCTGCGGGAGGGTGTCCTGGGTGGCACAGAGGGCCTCGGGCTCCTAAGGGGCAGCCCCACTCGGCAGGACGGCTACGAGCAGCTCCGGCAGCTGTCCCAGCACGCCATGAAGGGCGTGATCCGAGTGAAGTTTGTCAACGACCTTGGGGTGGACGAGGCCGGGATCGACCAGGACGGCGTCTTCAAGGAGTTCCTGGAGGAGATCATCAAGAGGGTGTTCGATCCGGCACTCAACCTGTTCAAGGTGCCCTGGGGCAGGGGCTGGGGGAAGCACCCAGAGAAGTGAACGAACGTGCTGGGCTGGGCTGGCACATCCGGGGCAGCCTACTCACCTCACCCTCTTGCCTCGCAGACCACCAGTGGGGACGAGAGGCTGTACCCTTCTCCCACCTCCTCCATCCACGAGGACTACCTGCAGCTCTTTGAGTTTGTGGGGAAGATGCTGGGGAAGGCGGTGTATGAGGTAGGCCCAGGAAGGAACTTGGAAGGAGAGCATGCAGGAAAAGGCTGCAGGGATCCGGGCCAGGCCCACAGGCGCCTTGCAGAGACAGCAGGGGCCATGCAGTTCCAGAGCCATGCTGGTGGCGTGCTCACACATTGGGCCACTGATCACAGCAAGGTCAGCAGTGTGGAACTCCCAGTGGCTCCGTGGGAGAAAGGAGGCTCTCTGCTCCCGGCAAGCGTTGTGCTCTGGGAGAGCCACAGGCTCAGTTCGACCCTGTGCTTTGGGTCCCTAGGAGTCTGGAGACCCTCTGCTTTGCCCTGTGGAGTCCTGGAGAGTCAGAAGGGGCCTGATGCTCTGGGGCCCTTGCAGAGAGGCCCTGGGCGGCACAAGCTAGCCAGCACTTGACCACCACCCAGAGAAGAAAGGTCTGCCCTCTGCTCCACTCCCCTGCCCCTCAGAATGCGCAGTCTCCTGCCCACCTCAGCTCGCCTGAGCAAGGCCGTCAGACGTTCTCCCTGCCCCTGCTCCGCTCTGTGTGTAAAGTGGGACTGAGGGCACTCAGGGTAGCATCCACACGCCGGGGAGGCCCTACCAGCCTCCCTGGCCTCTTCATTGACTCCCCCACCCCCCCCTTCAGACTGCCCTGTGGCCAGACAGACCTGCAGGGTGCCTGTGGCCTGCCCTTGTAGGCCTGCCTTAGCTGTCTGGTTCTGGAAGCTTCCCCACCTCTTCTGCTCCTCCACACCCTACCTGTCTTGGTGCTGAGAGCCTGGTCACACTCTGTGTTCACACCTCCCATTCGAGACTCAGTCCCCACAGGGTCACCGAGCCTGGCAGTCAGCCCTGCACCCAGCCCACTCTGACGTCACTTCCCCATGAGGCCCTGGTCCTGCTAGTTAGTGATGGGGGACCATGACCCTTACTGAAAACGTGGATGCATCCTGGCCCTGCCACGACTCACCCTGGGCCACCAGGGCCGCCCCAGTCGGGTCACAGAGCCAATGTCCACTCTGGCTGGCCAATCTCAGGGCCATCTCCCCCCACACAGGGCATCGTGGTGGACGTGCCCTTCGCCTCCTTCTTCCTGAGCCAGCTGCTCGGCCACCACCACAGCGTCTTCTACAGCTCCGTGGATGAGCTGCCTTCTCTGGACTCGGAATTCTATAAGAACCTCACCTCCATCAAGGTCAGTGTGGAAGGGGGATCAGTGGGAACTCACAGCCTTGTCCTGCGGGCTCATGAAATGCATCTTCCTGCCCTCCCCGCCTGCGGTGGAGAGGCTAAGCCCTCTCACAGTGCAGACTCGCACGGCCCCCTTTCCACGGGGGCGTGGGGGGCCTTGGCCTTGGCTTCAAGCTGTCATTTGGCCAAAGGCAGGCCTCTTGGGAGAGAGGGGTCCACTTCTCGGCCTCAACCCGCCCCTTCTCTGTTGCGTTAGCGCTACGATGGGGACATCGCTGACCTGGGCCTGACGCTGTCGTATGATGAGGACGTCATGGGTCAGGTAGGCAGGCCTGCGGCCGAGGCAGCCTTCCCCTCCTCCCCTCTGGGCTTGGAGAGCTACCCTGCCTGGTGGCCTCATCGGGAGACCCCGACACAGGCTGCACCACTCTTCCCGGGACCCTCCCGGCTCAGCCTCCGAGAGCGCCCTCCAGAGACCCACTCTACGTGTAGGATCCTTCCCTAGGGAAGCCCTGCTTCCCCATGGCCACCACGGTGAGGACCGAAAGGGTATGGTGTCGTGAGCGGGGAGATGCCTCCCACAGAATGCTGCCCTGGGTCATGCGGGTCCCAGAGCAGGGCAGGCAGAGAAGAGGCCTGGGAGCGGGGCCACGGCTTCCTGCTGCTGCGCCCTTCCCTCTGCGTGCCGTGCCCTCACTGTCGCATCCGGTGGACGGGTGTCTGTGTGAGCCCATGTGGGCCACAAGCCACATGCCTGGCAGTGCCTGTGTCACCACAGTGCTGTCACTTGGGCTCCCTGAGCCACGTGGCCCGCAGCATCTGTGGTGCCTGTCAGAGCTGGGTCCCTGGTGGGACTGGGGAAGCTCACAGGCCCCGTCGTCCTCCTGAGGGGCCAGAGCAGCAGGACCCCTGCTGGGGGAGGACGGGGCTGTGAGACTCGGGGGGCAAAGCCCTGGCTGGGCCGTGTCACCGCAGGCCTCCTCAGCCTTCACAGAGACAGAGCGGGGTCCCCTCGCTGGGGGCTTCTCTGATGAGCAGCGGACCCCAGGCATCCCCCGAACCTTCTCGTGGGGGTGGAGGGGGGCTTCCTCAGCCCTTCCAGCTGGAAACCCGGCCGGCTGCACCACGATGTGACAGCTGGGGGAGGGGGCTACTTTTCCTTCCCGTAGCTTTTTGGTTATGGCTAGAACGCGTGTTAAAATTCGCTTTAAAAGCATGCGGCTATTGATAGAGAAACACTAGGCTTTCTACTCCCGTAAACAGTTACAGTCGGGGGAGCCCACAGGGGCCAGCACTGACTCGATGGCTGTGAGTTTTTATTGATAAGATTGATCTGTGGTGGTAGCTAACACTTATTGAGCACGTCATTGGCCGATGCTGCTCCGTGGAAGACTTTGCTAGCTTTTTCCTTTTTCTTTCCTCGCGGTAAGAAGAAAACCAAACCGTTGCCATTTCAACATACTCTCTGATGGTTGGGCCAAGCCCACCGCATCCCGCTAGCTCACAGAAAGGTCCTTGAAGTTGAGAGCAGCAGTTGACACAAACCTCAGAAAGAGCATTCAGCCCTCAGAGCATATAGGTGGAATGACCCCCCCCAGACCGTGCCCCCTGCTGACATGTGGTCTATGTCCTTCTAGACTTTTCCACGGGGCATGTATATAATGCCACCTCTCCCCTACCAAGAAGTGCGACTACCCTGCCATCTGTGCTTAGGGCCGGGCAGAGTTCTTCCTCCGCGGGGTGTGCGTGTGCTAGTTAATGCTGGCACGTCCCCCATCGGGTTGTCTGAGCCAGGCTCACCTGAGGGGGCACCTGCACCATTGGCCAGGTGAGGTCCCCCAGTGGACCTTAGAGCCTGGCTTGTTGTGGGGAACGGTGGATCCGAGCACATAGTGTCTGAATCCTGCTGAGACCGTGGACGCACTCGGTCGCTTTTCCCACTGGTCCCCTCCGGTGACCACTGCCCGTCTTCTCCCCCAGCTGGTTTGCCACGAGCTGATCCCCGGAGGCAAGACCATCCCGGTCACCAATGAAAATAAGTGAGTATATCCCAAGTGGACCTGCAACGACTCCATCCAGGCCTGTGGGGCCAAACGTGGAGCATCTATTAAAATGGGTGGGAGCAGAAAGGGACCGTCCGTGCCACCACGGCGTTTCCTGGTCACCGCGGAAATCGCACTAAACTCCATTTACCGTTAGCAGGTGAGCTGCCAAGGTCAGAGGTGCCCAGGCTCCTGGGGCCGGAGGCTTTTAATGAGGGCTCCCGGTGGGGCCAGGTAGCCAGGCCGGTGGGGCTCACAGGTCAGGAGGGCAGGCAGTGTGGCAGTGGACGAGCCCCTGCTCCTGAGAAGAACTCGGTGATGAATGCTGATGCGGTTCACCAGGGGAATGGAGGAGGCTGAGGCCGGCAGCTGTCACCACAGAGAGCGGGCTTTTAGGCACCTACTATAGGTGTCACCCCGATTGGTCTCTGAGTCCAAGCCCTCTAGGGTACTCCACCTTTTCCCCATCCCCACCCCCACTTGCCGAATCAGAGCAGCAGAGCCTGGCAGGAGGGGCAGGTGCTGCCCCTCCATCACCCTGTCAGTCCTGCTACCAGGTTCCACCGAGCGCTCGAACTGTTTATCTGAGCGTCAAGGGAGCACTCGGCCCCTCCTGGGGAGTCGTTGGGATCAGCTGCCGGTCACAGCCCCACGGTTCCCAGGCACTGCCGTCCCCTCGGCCCAGAGAGGCCATCAGGAGAACGGACCGCTCTGACTGGGATTAAGATAAACCAACTGCCCCTTTGGCCTCGGGGTGCTAGTGAGGAGCCAGGAGCAGATAGCTCAGAGGAGATGGGAGGGGGAGAGCAGGAGTGGGTTCCGGGCCTGCCTGTGGGGTAGCCTGCAGATGGCTCCCAGTCAGGCTCATGCTGAGGGGTTGCAGGAGAGAGCGAGCACCGTCCATGACAGGCAATGAGCTGATCCCTGCTCCTCTAACTGACACTGCTGAGTCTGAGGACATCACCTGTTAGGTGACACCTTACAGGCCCCTCCCACCCCTGGAGACCATGTGTCACCAGGCATCCTGGCCAGGCGGGTGGTAGGAGCTGTGTTCACGGAGTGGGCCTATTGCCCTGCCTTGACACCACCACCTACGTGGAAACACTTCACAAAGGCTCCTGTGTTCCTAGCAGAAGCCCGCAGTGTGATGGCAGGAGCCCTGGAGGGTGACCGGCACCGTGGGTTACACGGCGGGCTGCTAACCGCAAGGTCAGCAGTTTGAACCCACCAGCCGCTCCTCGGGAGAAAGATGAGGCTTTCTGCTTCCAGAAAGATGGACAGCCTCAGTAGCCCCCAGGGGCAGTTCTACCCTGCCCTATAGGGCTGCTGTGAGCCGAGGTGGACTCGATGGCAGGGAGATGGGTTCTGGTAAGTCGATAGCAACAGGTCTGCTGACTGATTTCACGGGCCTGGCGATCTCAGTTCTCCTCTCAGGCAACGTCTGACCCCTCGTGCTTCTTAAGTGCCTTGCGGGGAGTGGGGGTGGGGCTGTTCTCCCCGACTTGTCACCCTGCGATAACTAGAGAGAGTTACTGCTGCACAAGGTGCATGGCAGCGATAGAAATGTTCATGTTCATGCGCTGCAGGTGTGCTTCTGGATCCCAACGGGAAAAGCAGGGTTCTGCCAAGGCCCACCACCAAGGTCTAAGTCTGTGGGACAAAACTGCTGGGTTGGGCTCAGCCAATTTGGGGGGTCTGTGAGAATTGTTCCTGGGCTGAGCTCAAGGTTTGCTTCTGAGCTTTGGGGTCACTAAGAAGTCAGTGATGCTGGCAAGAAGACCCTGGGGGCACAGTTGACCTGTGTCGTTGGACGTGTTGACCGTGCCACTGGGGTCGGGACAACAGGCCCAGAGACCTTGGCAGCCACTTGCTCTGACTTCCCGTGGAGCTTACCTGTGACCCACCTGCCTCTGTCCATATTTGCCTTTGCATAGCTGTAGGCCAGAGGCCCCCAAACATGTTTGACCCACTGCCCTCGTTTTAGGAGAAAGAAAATATAGATATTCATCATCCCCCGCCCCCCCCAGCCATGAAAAACCAGGCGGAAGATTTGAACAGACCATTCACCAAAGAGAATATTCATATGGCCACCAAGCACAGGAAAAGATGCGATCAGGAGCCATCCCAAACCAAACCAAGCCTGTTTCCATGCAGTAGTTCCGGCTCATAGAGACCCTGTCCCGTCCCCCTTCCCCCCAGAGGCCAAAGCCACTGCCATCAGATTGATTCCAACTCACAGCGAGTCTGTGTGGGGTTGCCAAGGCTGTAGACAAACCCTCAGTTCCTACTGGCCCCTTTCAGAAAGAAGAGCTCTCAGTGTCGCCGGCTGGCTCTTAGACACATTTGTGCTCTATCTAGCAGGCCATCCCAGATAAAAGTGTAGGAATCTGCTTCTGCTCCAGTCCGTCTGAGCCCTCCACCAGGGGCGCTATCACCCACTCTGGAAACCCCAATGTGGACTGTGACCCAGACTGGCCAGGAGTGGATGGAAGCTTCAACAGGAGACCCCCTTTCTCTTCTGGAAAGTGGACTGGAAGACTAAGCGAGGCCTGAGTCCCCATGAAAGCGCTCTCTTCCCCAGACAAAGCCTGACTGTGTTCTCGTGCCCAGGCCCCAGGCCCTGGGGGGCAGACCACAGAGTGTGATTCCGGGACACTGCCCTTGTCGTCACCATCACTGGGGGGGCGGGAGGGAGGGAGCACAGGGGCTGTGTGTGTCACCGGCAGCCGTTCACCCCCATCTCCGTGCTGCCCCGCCCACAGGATCAGCTACATCCACCTGATGGCGCACTTTCGGATGCACACGCAAATCAAGAGCCAGACAGCCGCCCTCATCAGTGGCTTCCGCTCCATCATCAAACCCGAGTGGATCCGCATGTTCTCCACGCCCGAGCTGCAGCGCCTCATCTCCGGTGACAATGCAGAGATTGACCTGGAGGATTTAAAGTAAGGGGTGGCCTGGAGGCAGGGGGGTGGGGCTCCTGGGGCCTCCCAGAGAGCAAGATGCTCACCTGACAGGTTACTCTGGCGGCGTTCCCGTGGGTGTGCACACGCACCTGTGCTCCTCCGAGGCCCCTGGACGGAGTGTGGGAGCAGGCCTTGGGGTCTCAGCTGCTCTGCTCCACACCCACGTCCACGGAGGTGAGTGAGGGCCTGCCGTCTGGCGTGTTTGCAGGAAGCACACGGTGTACTACGGCGGCTTTCACGGCAGTCACAGGGTCATCATTTGGCTGTGGGACATTCTGGCCTCCGACTTCACGCCTGACGAGAGAGCCATGTTTCTGAAGGTATCCTCCCCTCTACTTGTGCCGGTCTGTGTTCACGGGTGCGGAGAGGCGCGCTGATGCGGCAGCCTGCACCAGAAATCGGTCCAGTCCTCGGGAGGCCCTCTTATATCGTCAGCCTGCCCTCTCCCCAGAGGCAGGCCCTCAGCTAGGACGGGCCGGAACCAGCCAGGGGCCAGGCCAAGTCTGGTGAGCCCACCAGCCTGCAGCACTCCCCCTCGCTTCAGATACAGGGCCTCTGGGCAGGCAGGTTGGAGAGACAGTGAGTGGGTGCTGGCCTGGCCTAGCCTACAGCTCTCTTTTCTTCTTTGCCTCTTGTTAAGAGAAGGAAACACTGTTCATCCTGCTTGACAGCCAAGCAGACACGTCAACCACCTCCCATCCTGCCGTGTCGCATTTCAAACCAGCGCCACTCCTGCATTCACAGCACACGCACCTTCCAGCGGAGCAGAGCCAGTTGATGGGTCTGCCGAGTCAGGGTTCACGTTTGCCAGCTAAGTGGCAGGCACAACCCACTTCTGTGCCATCATCATCAGCATTCAGGGTCCCAGCCAGCACCCCCATGGTGCTGATTGGTAGTCATGTCAGCAAAACACTGTCTCTGCGCCTCTTGTGTGTAAGTGTAGGTCTTTGTTTAAACAGAATCTTCTGCTCCCTGATAGTTTATTGAACAAGGAGCCCTGGTGGCGTAGTGGTTACAAGGTCAGCAGTTCGAAACTACCAGCCACTTCGTGGGAGAAAGATGACGTTTTCTACTCCCATAAAGAGTTAACATCTTGCCATAACCCGAGGCAAATATCAGTTCCTTGAACTGTTTCCCCGTGGGCATCGGGGTTTCTCGAACCTGAGTCCCTGTGACCTCAGTGGCGGCAGATGAAACAGCAGCGGGTATCCTGTTGTGGCTGGTTCATGACCCCTGAGAGGCCCTCTCTAGTGGCCACCAGCTGCTTCTCAGCTCTGGGCTCTATAGGTCAGTCAGCTGAGCGGGTGCCCTTGACTCTGAGGAAAGACCCACCAGGGACTTCACCACCCCTGGCTGGGAGCCTGGGCTCTGGCTAGTGTGTCACAGGCTTTCTGATGCCCACAAATGGCTGCTCCTGTCTGTTCCTGTGTCTCAGTCCCAAGGGCAGCCAGCCCCCTGAGGAAAGATGGGGGATCCATCCGTCACCCTGCTCTGCCTGCCCCTCTGTGACAAGTGGGTGAGTGAGCCACAGGAGGGAGAGCGGCTCTGTCCCCACTGACCCCGCCCTGTGTTACAGTTTGTCACCAGCTGCTCCAGGCCCCCCCTGCTTGGATTCGCCTACCTCAAGCCTCCCTTCTCCATCCGCTGTGTGGAGGTTTCCGATGATCAGGTACCTCCCTCCGCTGGGGAAGGAGCAGACCTCGCAGGCCAGGCCCCCTGTCCTCCCAGACAGGGAAAGGCAGGGGAACAGGCTGCCTACAGGGGGCCCCACAGATTTGGGGACTGCCTGGGGGGGCAGCAGCTCAGGAAAGAGCGCTGAAGAGGAGTTTCAGGAGCTGCTAGTTGGCCTGGGGCGCCAGCTCTGAGAGAGAGCAGAGCACGCAGGGGCTTCGGGGCCTGATTGGCACACTGGGCATCTGAGTCACCTCCCCACCTGCTGGCTGTGCTACCGGGCAGCACTTGGTCCTTCTCTGTCAAAGGAGAGCGGGCAGCTTAGGGCTGGCTCACTCGTGTACAGCGGGCCTGAACCATCCTTGCCTTTGTCTCCCACCCTGTCCCCCGTGAAATAGTGCCCTGCAGGTTGTCACTGCTTCAGCAGGTCACAGGCTCCTGGCCCCTCGCTGTGACAGGAGCCGGTCTTGAGTCCCATCACAGAGGGAAGTGCTGGCCATGCTCACAGCTGCCCCGTGTGTAGTTGGAAGTTAGCCAGCCCGTCGGTACCCCGTTCGGAGGGTGTGCACCTAGTACAGAATGTAGGGGGGGGGCAACCCAGGAGAGCCCACCAGGCAGGAGGGGAGGTGGGGGTGCTTCTCTGTGCCCCCCCCCCCTTTAGGGCCATCACCCTCGAGCCACTTGGGGTGCGAGGCCAGAGCCAGAGGTTGCCCGGAGCTGCCTCCCAGACCCCAAACCGGGCCGTGTGCTTGCAGGACACCGGGGACACCCTGGGCAGCGTCCTGCGGGGCTTCTTCACCATCCGCAAGCGCGAGCCAGGCGGCCGCCTGCCAACCTCATCCACCTGCTTCAACCTGCTCAAGCTGCCCAACTACAGCAAGAAGAGCGTGCTGCGCGAGAAGCTGCGCTACGCCATCAGCATGAACACGGGCTTCGAGCTCTCCTAGCCCCGCCCACAGGCCCGCCTGGGCCACGCCCAGGGAGGGGCGGGGAATAAACGTCCTTTCTTCTCGCCGCCCAGAGCGGCTGCCCCTTCCTTCCGGTAGTTTGGCCCCTGTGGTGAGTGGCTTTCCCCTTAACTCGGCGAGGGAGCTGCGCGCGCACAAGGCGCGGGACCCCCAGGCGTCCCGAGCGGTGTTGGCCGTGGGCCGCACAGAGCCTGCGGCGCGGAGGATGCGCAGTCCGCTTCCGGACACTTCTCAGGTCAGGCCTCGCCCAGCTCTATGCACCGACGGTCTCCGCCCCGCCCCTCCGACTCAGGCCCCGCCTCCCGCGGGTTCCTCTTCTCGGGCATCCGCCGGGTTTGGGAGGGAACGCCGCTGGCCAACCCTCTGACTGTTAGTGGGCGGGGCCCCAGGGGGAGGCGTCTGTCCACTCATTTCCCGAGGAGCAAACAAACACTAACCTGAGCTGTGCCCCCTCAGCAGTGGCCTCACCCTGCAGATGGCACAATCCCAGGAAACCTGGGTCTGCCCCCCACCTTCCCCCAGCACAGGGAGACCCAATGTCCTTTGCACTGATTTAGGCCCATGAGGTGAGGCCCAGGAAACTCATCACCCTCCGGACTGGTTTTCCTTTTTTACTTGGTTTGCGCTTCCAGCCCATTGCTTCCCTCGATGCCAGATCGCTGCCCTAGATGCAGGGACTCTGGCACAGGCCCTGCCAGGGGTCAGCACTGACAGTCGCCCATCCTCTCCCACCCTGACATGCATCTGGTGGGTGCCTGCCACCCAGAGGGCTGGCCCAGCGCTCTTTTCTGTTGCTCGGCAGCGGAGTGGGTGAGGTGTGCAGCTTCCTTTAAAAATAGCAGCACCTGCCAGCAAGAGCGTTCATGGTGGCACTGAATCCAGCAAGCCCCGGTTCCACAGCCGGAACCTTCAGAGATTGTCTGATGCTGGTGCCCCATGGGGCCTGGCGCAGCTACAGCACCTGGCCAGGCACTCGGGGACAGAGTGTGCCCGGTTCGCAGATGGAAAGCTGGCGTTGTTCACGATTTAAGCTTTGTGGGTAAGCCCCTGACCCTGTGAACTTGCCGCTCACTGTCAACGCTGAATTCCCACAAACGTGTGCGTGCAAGTCATGGTCAGCCTGTCAAAAGAAAGGAACCAGCTCCTGTCTGGAGCCCGTGAGACTGGAGGTTGGGGCACGCGGTGACCACCGTCAGCTCCTTCTTGGTGAGGAGGGACAGTGTGTCATTTCATTCAAATTCTTCATCACCTGAAAATCTTGCACTATCGAAAACACTGATGTGTGCTTTTATAGCTGATGTTGGAACTGTGAGGATTATGTATCTCTCTGACACCCGGAAGGCTCTGGAAAGTTGTGCTGTGTTGTTTCCTAGCTAACTTACGGGTTACGGCAGGCTCAAACGCTTTATTAAATTTATTAAATTTGTACGACAGCACACAACGGCTGTGTTCGGCTTTTTGTGTCAAAAAGGAGCTCTTCCCGAAAGGCCACATGCCCGGATGGGTGTGGGTGCAGAGCTGGCCTCCGGGGGTTGAGAAGATGCTGGAGGTGTGAGCATGGAGGTGTGAGAGCACGGGGCAGACACCCCCATCCTCTCCACTGTGTGCCTGGCTGGTCATCCAGCGGTTGGCTGTGTGAGTGCACACCCCCACCCCAGCACCACGGTAGAAAGGCCATGAGGGATCTGCCTCCAGAGAGATTACCAAACCCCAAAAGCTCACAGCCCTCAAGTCGGTTCCACCTCAAAGTGGGCCCTATGGGACACGGCAGAACTGCTCCTGTGGGTTCCCAAGATGAGATTGTTACAGGGACAGCCAGCCTCGTCTTCCTCCCTTGGAGCGGTGGGTGGTTTTGAACTTCTGGCCTTTGCACTTAGCAGCCCAGTGCTTAAATCACTGCAGCACCAGGGCTCCCCCATCAAGACTGCAGCCTGGGAAACCTCAGGAGCCATTCTGCTCTGTAACCGGGGGAGGGGGGGCCACCCCCAACCTGAGTTAACAGCTGTCGGCCATGTGTGCTATTTGCCAGCAGTGTTGTTGGAAGAGATAAGGCATTAGCTCTAAAGTTGAGGCCAGCTTTTATAAGTGCCAGGGCTGGCCCCAATGCCCTCTCCCATGTCCCAAGGTGGCAAGCAGCCTCCAGATGGCCCCAGAGCCCGAATTGGATCCTTATATTTTACGGATGGCCCTTCTGCCACCTTTCCGTCACACTCTTGGTGAAAAATATCTGCATTTTCCTCCTGGAACAGGTTCACCTTTCCAGGTTCTGGCTTTAGAAGGTTCTACTGTTACCTTGCAGCCCGTTTCTTCTTTTTTTTTTTTTGCAGCCCGTTTCTGAGTGACTAAATGTTTATGGCTCGTCTGAGGATACATCCATCCATCTCAGGTTTCTCTGGCGGCCTAAGGCAGGGGCTCACTGAAAAATCCTCTGTTCCTGTCCCCGCGCTAGTATATGGCAAGTCTCAACACCTACCAGTTTTTCCAGGTGCACCTTCAATAAGGAGTCAGCATCCCAGTAAATTCTCACAGCCCCTGGGCCAGGGACCACTGAGGCTACCAGCGTGACCCTTGACTTGCTGAAATCGAAGTGGAAAGGAAATCTTGAGCCGCAGCCTGTCAGCTCCAAAGGAGAATTGTGCCCCCAGGTGTGTCTAAGGCACCATTGATACCAGGAGAGCCAAGATGGCCACAAACCTGTGTGAGAGTCTCCTAGAAACGCAACCCCTCCCTCCAAGAGATGCTGGTTCTTGAGATCTCCCTGCAGGGAGACTTGTTTTTATGTTTTCATTAAAATGAAGAGAGCCTTCAAATCCAGACAGAACCATGTCCTCCTGCCTGCTTGTGTGCTGTCGATGTTCCCGTGTGCCTTCACATGTCAGGTGGCTTCTCTCCCCGGGGAGTCGAGGAGTAAATCCAGGGCTGTCTCAGCAAGGTCGCCAGCCCGTCAGAGGAGCTGGAGAAGCCAAAGACTCAGTGTGCACCCCTCACTCCCAGGAGTGCGTTGGCCCCGCCAGCAGAGAGAGAGAGGCTGAGCGTTTGTGGGAAACAGACGGACGGTGGCAGGGAGAACTCACACCATTTCTCACTGACTTTCACCTGAGCTCTGCATGCTTTGACGTACCATGTAATTACGGATTCTGAATTACGGCATCGAGCGCATCAGGAGTAACTAATTAATCAATCAGATTTATAAGTCTTTGGTTCTCCGAGATCTATGACCATGATCAAAGCTACTGAAAAGAAGTCCCTGTCTTCCTGTTTATTCTCTCAAGAGGTGGGTGGGTGGGATAGGGGGGGTTGCAGGACTGGGAGAGCTGCCCTTAGGGACAGTCGGACCACACTCTTGGGTCCCTCCCGGGTCCCTGCCTCTGGGATATGTGGGAGCTTTGCCTTAGGCATTCAGAAATAATCAAACGCGGCACTTGTACTGTTTCCCTCCAGGGTCATGGTAGACATTACTAGTGGGCTACTGCACGGCCTGCTGGGTCTGAACCCAGCCTCCACTCCACACCCTCCAGGCAACTCCTACCAGTCACCTGGATTGAGGTCGCTTTCCTGTACCGGGGGTAAACCCTCCCCTCAGCCGACCTGTCAGGGAAGAAAGCTGGATTTGGGCCGAGAGGATGCGGGTGAAGTGCTGGCTCTGCTGCGTGTTCCCAAGAGGAAACCCTGCCTCGGGTGTCCTTGGCTGTCGTTTCAATGGAAGTAGATCGCCAGGCCTTCTGGGTGGGTTCCAACAGCCAACTTTTAGGCGAAGTGGCCCGGTGCCAACCATTGGTGCTAGGTGTGTAACAAACATGAAAGAAACAGAGAAGGAAGTGGCCTGTCGGCACGAAACCACCCACCCCTTCAGGGATATCTGAGCCAGGAAAAGCCTCGTGGGGAGTGACACCCCCTTATATGCTCCCCTACTCCTTCCCATGGGGAGCCCACCCCCCCTGCAGCCAAAGCCGTTGAGTCTAGACATCCAGAAACCATGAAACCTGTTCCTTCTGCAGAGACGGCGGTGGTGACTGAATGGAGACGCTTGGCACGAGGAGGGCAGAAAGATGACCATGGCCCCACTGATGTGTCCCCTGGGGGGCAGCTCCAGCTTTTCTCCAAGTGACCGAGGATGTTGGCATCCCCCTCCTCCCCCTGTGGTTGCCGCCAAGTCCAGGGTTTGAGGGTAGACAAAGACACCGTAGCATCACCTGACAGTCTCATGTGAAATATTGTCTTTAATTAATTAGCGAGCGCCCTGTTGTAGAGCATTTGTTTTCCATTTTTCACCGTAATGCACACCGCACTCAAAAACAACAGCCCTGAAACCTCCATCTAGTCTCCATCTTCGAAGGAATCCAGAGATGTGACATGCCTGGTCATGTCTAACAAGCCCAACACGTAACCCACTTTGCCACCAGGGCTCGTGTGTACCTGACTCCAGATAAGATATGCACCAGAGTTGCATAGGCACCGGAGGTGCAAATAAGATACGCACCGTGGGTTATGTGTTGGGCTATTAATCGAGAGGCCAGCAGTTTGAACCCACCACCCACTCCACGGGAGAAAGACGAGACTTTCTACACCCGTAAAGAGTTACAGTTTCAGAAACACACAAGGGTAGCTCTACACTGCCCTAAGGGTTGCTGTGAGTCGAACTTGACTCGATGGCAGTGAGCTTGGTTTTGGAAGGCACATACAATCCCACAGCGGCTCAAAAAGGTTGCAGGCAACTACGAAACCAAAGGTTGGCGGTTCAAACCCATCCTCTCGAGGGCAACAGGCTTTTTTGGGTTTAAGGTGCATAACGTTTAAAAAATGTAAAAGGTATTGCCAAACTGGCCTAATGAATAGCCCTCAGGAGCGGTTGATGTAAGGTCAGTGGTTCGAAACCACCAAGCACTCCATAGGAGAAAGATGAGGCTTTCTTCTCCCAGGAAGAGCTGCGGTCTCAGAAACCTACAAGGGCGGCTTTACCCTGGCCTCGGGTTGCTCTGGCTTGGCAGTGACTGGGCCATAAGTACTGAGGTAGAGATGTCCCTGGGCGGCACAAACTGTTCAGCCCTTGGCGACTCGCCAGAAGGTTGGTGGTTCTAAGCCACCCCCAGCCCCTTGGAGGACAGGCCTGGCAATTGACTTCCGGAAGGTCACAGCCTTGAAGATTCAGCCTGTGGTGCCGTGCTACTGCACACAGCTGGGGTCACAGGCGTGGGACTCTAACTAATAGCCACAGCAGCTGTGGGGCGTCCACGGCATTTACCCGCCCCAGGTGCCGCCACCTCCCTCCGGCTCAGATCACGGCGCCAGCGACAGGAACGAAGTCTTGCGGGGCCCACTTCCCAGAGCATCTGCACCTGGGGACCAGGCTGGGTGGGACCCCGGCCAGGCCGCCCAACCACATGTGCAGTTGAGTGATCGCGGCCCGACTCGAGTCTACAGCTCCTGCGGCGTTAACAGATGCCCGCGTGGCCAAGGCAGTCAGGCGGCAAGAGACTTGCGGGGCCCATCCGTCCCCGTCCTGACAGTGTGCCATCGAGGTGAAGCTATCAATTTTGTAAACAGGAATAAACAAGAATAAACGGCCTATAGCACCGCGGCTGCTCGACCCTTCCAAGGTGATCATAATAAATAAGAAGGCAGCTCGCCGGCGTGGGACTTGGCCGATGTGGATGCCCAGGGATGGGGTGGGAGATCCCATGCCTGAGCTGAGCACAGGAGGTCACTGAACGGGTGCCCAGGTCAGGTCCAGGGAGATCCCTTGATGCCGTCGACTCCTTCCACGCACCTCGGGCCACCTGAGGTGGCACCTGCTTCCCACCTGCCTCACGGAAGCCTCTCCTCTCCTGGAGAAGTCATGCGCCAACTCATCACTGGCCGATCACATCTACACTGACCGCTGCCCCAAGATGGCCGTGCCACGTGAACCGGAAGACCCCAGGGTCCTCCCCTGGAGAGCGTCCCAGAGGCGGGCGGCGGAGTCACCGTGGAGCCGGAGAAGGTCTTGAGGCAGGCAGGTCCCAGCTCAAGCCGTAACCGGCCTCATCCTTGCTGCTCGATGTGACGCTGGCCAAGCACGTCTCCTTGTGATCCCGGCGTTCACAGGCTTGGATGACTAGTGGCCATCGTCCCATCTACCTGGTAGGGCCGTTAGACCAAGACCCAAAACTTACTGCCATGCAGTTGATTCAGACTCATGGTGGACCCTTCTAGGGCCGGTTAGAACTGACCCCTCCGTTTTATGGAAGTAGAAACCCTCGTCTTTCTCCCACAGAGCAGCTGGTGGTTTTGAACTGCAGACACTGCAGTTAGCAGCTTGACTTGTAACCACGACCCCACCAGGGCGCCTGTTGTGGGAGTAAAGGACGGGAAGCGATCTTAAGGTGCTCTCTCAGAGTGGGCTGTGATTGGACAAACAGGCGTGAAAAGCTCTGGAGGCACAACGAGGCCAGGCCAA